GGGAGGGAGGGAGGGGGGGGAGTATGTTGTATGACTGCCTTAGAAACATTTAAAATACTTGTTCGAATCCTCGATCGTTTCATGTTCGTTTATGATGTGGATATGACGTGCAATGCACGCATCCGTGTTCAGTCACTCAATGTCCGTAAAAAATTTGGTGTCATCTGGTTTACGTATCACTACACTGCGTTTTATCTTCGCTCATCCAAACGATTAGTACTTATGAGATAGACGAACCAAATTCGTGAAATCAATTGAATTCCATTAACTTTTTCAACAACACTTCCCCAGGTGAGTAGTATACAGACTGAGGTATCAAGGACTCAAAGATTTGTTCCGCGGGTAATACCGCTTGGCATAAGGGGTAAACCAATTGTAGCAGAGTCGTCAGCTGCGTCACACGACAGGGGTGGTCCATCATTAAACATAGCGCGACGTTCTCATCAGCCGAGGGTTTCGATAATAAGGTAAAAACTTCTGGTAAATGGTTTTCGAAATATTAACCTAACGAATCTCGAATTTAGACTTTACGCTTGCCTTTTTGTAAAAGAACGTTCTTTCATAACCTTGTTGCGTAATGAGTTATTTTTTCGGCAGGAATTCCAACAGCTTGGAAACGAGAGAAGTAGTTAGTGCTGTTTTTTGGTGTACAGTAAATAAGTTAACCTATAGGATTTTTGCCATTTTAACTTAATACTCATTTTTGGTATAATGCATGTATAACACTTTCATTCAGCTCATTGAGATCTGCATTTTTGCGTCAAGACAAACACCTTTTACACAGACTATCATTTTGAACTTTCACCCTTCAAACGGAATTTTCAACTAAAATACTGAAATGCATGTTCACGAACATGTATTACATTTCGATTCAGCTGACCAAGACCTTTCGAAATACTTCCCCGCATAGATTTTCATATAAAAATCTTTATGCCAGTCTCAAATTCGTGGAAAAGCTATTACATTGGGTTCTCAGCTTTTTTATCCCGAAGTATCTATATATAAAAGCTATAAAATGTAATGCATGTTGCTCTTAACTAGCCGCAATTTTCTTGATTGTTACCAACAAAGTAATACCTTGCATAGCAAATCATGTGTTCAATTTTTCATTTTCTCAGGGATCCCTCAGAAAATATTTAAGAAAAATAGTTTTTGCAAAATGTCCGCCATATCAAGCGTTACAACTTGACAATATAAATTCGCTCAAATAACAACTATAAATTATAACAAATTCTAATTCCGTTGATATACGGGGGAAATGAATGTCATATTTGTTGTTTTTGTCTTCTTTAGGCAGAAACAAACCCAGTAACACCTTAGCTTGTCCAAGTTTAACGAGTAATAGTCAAATCGCCTTTAACCACGTTTAGTTTTCAAGCTTTAAATAGCGTTTGTTACTTAAAAGTAAAATTTGAGCGTACAGAGCATGTATGACATCCTGATTCAACCTGTACTGTTCAACTGTACTAGTACTGTAAAATACGGCCTCTTTCCATAGATCTTCATATAACGATCTGGTTGCTACTTTGTCAGGAGAAAATATTTTTTTAAGTAATTTTGGAGAAATTGAAGAAATTTCATTAATAAATCACAAAGTATAGCTTACATCAGTTCTCACAATTTTCCCATAGATACGAAAGAAAATATTTTTACAAAAAACGTCAGAAAAGGGCAAAAATAGAAAAGCATTCCATATCATAGACAGGTTTCATTAGCTGTAATAAATATATAGGGAAGGCCAGATTAGCATGTCCCCCCATGTAGAAGAATAGAAATACCTCGTCACGAAATAATTATATAAACTGCGATGGTTCATACTGCATTATTTGACAGGTATCTGGGCAAAAATTACCATTCGTTTAGTCGGAAAATATAACAACATGATAAACAATCCCTAGTGTTTATCTCGTAGAATTAAAAACCAACAATTTTTTGAACTCCAATGTTTTTTTTTTTTAATTATTAACGGTTGCTGGGCAAATCGCCAAAAAAGAGTTATCTAGGTTAAAAATATAGCCCATGAAAAAATGAAGGTCCTCATGGGAATGTGTTTATCTAAAAACAATAACTATAGCGGAGATATTTATATTTTACCAAATTTTTCTTTGAAGTTAAATTAGCATCACATACATATAAAGAGAAGAAACTATTTTCTAATAAATTATTCGAATAGTTAAGGAATAAGAACCAACGATGTTTCATACTTCATTACTTCCTAATCAACGGGCTAATATCACTATTCTATGACTAAATCGCAAAAAAATGCAAAATAAGAATATCCCCCAGAATCCAATTTGTGCCCATTCTGTGAAGCTTGAGAAACAAGTAACCTTCCAATGTAAATATTTTAGATTGCAACAGTTATCGAGCAATTTGCATAAAATAACCGATTATCTAAATTTATATTACACTGTATGGAAAAATCCCTCTCTCTCTCTCTCTATATATATATATATATAATTTTAATATTGTTATTATTATACAAATATATGCAAACATATTATATAAAAAAAAAAAAATTTATATACCTCACCGCGGTGGGGAGCTTCGTTTTTTTTTAGATCGTCCATCAACGAAAGCCTCCTTCCACGTGGTTATCTCCTGGAAACTGCTCTTACAGCCTTCATTAACACACACATCAAGTTTTACTTGATATACCATTATATGTATATTATATATTGTTATTTTTGTAGTACTATTAAAATCTCGAACCATTTTCTTACAATGCATTGCAAATGTAAGAAGTAGATGAAAATAAAAAGTACATGGAAAGCCAACGCTAGATACAAATGACTGGAGTACTAATATATTTAATTTATTATAGGACGACATGTATATTACCGTACATCACATTAATGAGTATCATGCCAAGATTACACAGTAATTATGACTACTTGAGTACAAATTGCTCTGGAATAATCAGTTGCAGAAACAAGATCATAACAAGAGGGACAAGATAAGGAATATGTATGATAATTACAGAATTCACCTAACATTTTTTTCACCCTTGGTGTTCAATTATAAACAAAATTTAAGACTTGGTTAAGCACGATTGCATTATCCTAGGCTGTGTATTGCACTGGGAGGTCTAAAACTCACTTTGCGAGTAACCACCACTTGAATCGTACATTAGACATCCGACACAACTTTTTAGTTGTTATTTGTCATACTACAAGTACCATTAAATCCTCTTCATCATCAGAATCTGTACACCGAAGGGCTGAAAAGGTTCAATTGTAAAAGTTATCGTTAACGATAAAACGGGTAACAAACTCGAAAAACAATCCGTCTTGAAAAAATGTTCAAAGCTACAGTTTCAACCGATGCAAAACATCCTCAGAAGCTCCTTGAAAAAAAAACGAAGTGCGCGCACTCTTTCCAGTTTCTCCCGTCCAAAATGCCTGTCTTCCTCATCGTTACACCTATATAGACCACTCAATAATTATAGCTCTGCATTGCGAGGGAATTTGAGACGCGCATAATTTCAAATGTAAATAAGATCCGGCCTCCCACATACTTATATCAGGTAGGGCTGAGAAAAAGTCACTTTATATAAAGACTTCGTCGAAAATGAAAAAGGAGCTAATTAAAGCAGTTTGTTTTGATCTCTAAATTAACAATAAATAGGGCACGAAAAGTTTTGAAGTCTTTTTTATAACACCTTACAACCGTTGTGCAACTTTTTTTTCGCAACTGTGCTTACCTCGCACATTTTTTGCAGATCGCTCCAAAATGTCTGCTTCTCGCCCATGTGTTACGAAACAGGCTTTGATAGATTCACTGCGCTTTCATTTTTAACATTAAAAACGCTTTTAGTACTCATGCCACATATTAATATTGGTCTCGATGTCAGCAATAAGCTTCTCACCTTATATGCGTTAGAACTCTTAGTTTCCACGTCTCAGCAGCATGATCGCTCTACTTGGGCAAACACACTGCTGTAACGAGTATAGCCAGAAACGAGCAGATTTAGGCTCACTAAAAAGACCGGCACAGTACTTCTGTAATCCTCTAATCGGGGAAAGCTCCGTACATCTCCTTTTCCAGTTTAAGCAGATCCCAATCCCAACTTCGCTGTTTTCGATGTAATAATAATAATATCTACTGAGCAGTACTCCATAGTGACACACCAAGCATCTAAGAAGTTTTATTTAGAATTCTCATTTCCATCTAAAAAATCTCGTGAGTAATGGCTTTTTAAGTTCCTTGTATATCAAATAGCATTAATATGTTTTAAAATTACCATGTATTTATTTGCGAGTAAAAATGAACTCTATTTGCACTTCTTTTTTGGAGGACTGAGGCTTTTCGGCTATTATATTACTTTAAACCTTTTCCCTTAAAGCTTCATTGGCCAGACCGACCTATATATAATCTACTTATCATAAACTAGACCATTTTGTTATTACCTTATGATACTTGATTATTCAAAATTAGGTAAAAAGGAGTAAATCCACTTGGCTGATTTTATTGTACCAATTCGATACCTTAGATAATTTATTATACATTTTACTTAGTTCACTCAGTGAAAAAATAACTTTATAATCTGAATTGAATATTTCTACTATTCTCGCGTCTTTTTAGAATCCACTATGATTTACTGACTCCATTCGCACTTTGGATATCAGTTCGGTTCTGACAAAAAATATCAACAGCGATCGCTAATTGCCTCTGTTCTTCTTTTCACTTATTTTCATATGAAGTTGCACATATTACGTTCGATTTTTCTTTATTCACAGATATCTATTAAAAATGAAGCAAAACCGGTTCGTGAACATGCAAATGCTCATAAAGCAAGTGATCCGTTAGAGATGTGTCTCAAAAAGGTAAAAAAAATAGAAGTATAAACGTAATCGAAGTTCCGAATGCGCTGGCTACATTTGAATAAGTAACAAAACAGTTTCTTTCTATAACATTAAACTTAATTTTTGATAAATCTACTCTCGTCCATTTATGTCTAGTTTTTGGACTTCCTATCCGCATATTTAGTCCCTTCCTGCTTTAAAATTATGCACAAGAACAAAGTATATTTGTCTATATACACCGACGCGATGAGTCTAACAAATGATTAGATCATGATGTGATTGATTCTGACTTTATGTTCCTAATACTTTGTAAGTTGCTCTATTTATTCAACATTACAAAGTGACATCGACATTGGACTAACCATCCAATTGACATTATAATATAATAAAAAATGACAGCGGTGTCTACCTAAGCAGTCCTCTGAAAAAATATCAAGGTTAGGCGTCTGTCGAAATTATGAACCAAGTGGCTCAAAGAATTTACTTCGCCCAGGCCTCAGTTTTTTTACAACCTGGGGTCTTAGCTTTGACATGTAGAGCCAATATCATACAATTATTTTATTCTATTGGAAACTTTGGACTTTAGTAATCAAGAGTAGATCTTGAAACTATTTTGCACTGTTCTGGCTGTATGCGGCACACCTTGACTCACTTAGGCCTTTACTGGTATTGTGTTATTAATGTTAATCTATAATTTTAGATAACTTAAATTTGACACAAAAACCAAGCAGTGCTAAACCAAAAGAAATAGAAAACCATTTGTATGTAACTATTTAAAAAATGCTTAGCCACAAGCGGTCAAGCTATTTGCGTTATCTTATCCTTCTTTTCCTTTATTTATATGTGTTCTGGTGGGATCCTTAAGAACTTATCAATGACTTATTTTAATAATATATTCATGTCATGTATTTACACTGACTCTTCAACTATGATATATTTATGGACACCCGGTTGCTGCATGCTTACTAAAACAACAACTTAGCAACTTCATGCGCTTACTTTTCTCGGAAGTCCTATAAATTAAACGTTAATTCACAGATCAGTATCCTTTATAAGGTTCACACATTCATATTTATCCCTACATCAGGTTGGGTTTCGGTGCCGTATATCAATACCATGTGCTAGCGATATATGGCGCATTTGTAGGGTCATAAGCAAACTCACAATAACCTAGGTAACGGAACTGGCTTGCCCCTAGCTAACAAGGCCCCTAACACCCGGTCGATGATAAATGCAGCTACTAAGTCAGCAGCAAGCGTGGCTAAAATTAAGTTAGCCTGGTCCGGTGGAAATTCGACGAGCTCCAATTGACTTGACACATCAGGCATCAGGTTCTTAACGAGGGCGACAACGACTAGCGCGGGAACTAGGAGCGCATATAGCAATGGCTTATTCTCAAACAGACTCTCCATAAATGGATGGCCCCTAAAATAGTAAGATGAATCAAGAACTAATTTAGTAATCACAGACATTAGCATGAATTACGACGTAAAAACACCATGCATGTGTAGTAAAAAGATAACGTTTGACATATAAGATGCGATTTATACAGGAATTATGTCATATATAGTAGAGAAAGTAGGTACGCAGAACGTATGAGATCACACTGCAAATAAAGTAAGCGTAAATAAAGTAAGGCATTAAGGCGAAATATTAACATATATATATATCGGTAATCTTACCTATAGTTGACCGCGAATGTGGATATTTGCAAGGCGATAGAGAGAATATAAACGGTGGAATTCAACAGGGATGGCTCGAATTTTGAATCTTCTCTAAATTCCTTCGGTTTCAGTCCCTCGTAGAGTCCGGTAAGGTAGATCAAAGTGGAAAGGTGGACTGCAAACTGGAGGATCACGGTGAGTAGAGTATACGCGTTAAATATATTCGCAAGGGGTCGTTTTTGCGATAATTTCTCTTGAGGCTTTGATCTGGAGATTAAGTAAAAGCACGCCGCTAATAGCAGACCCTGAAACGTAACAGCATCAGCAACGGCAAAAACCTTTATAGGGTCATAATCCATTAAACATCATAAAATATCTAACGCCTATGATATTCCACTAGAATTCGGTGATCAGTTCTACCAAAATGAAAACAGAACAAGTGAGAGCCACCGAAAAAGTCCAGAAATTTTTATGTCATTTAATGGTGCCAATCTATCCAAATAATTTTTACCTGAAGAGTAGCTTGTGCGTCGGATAATTTGATTCCGTCAAGGTATAGAACTGACTGCGAATATGCAAGTACAAGTGCGTTGAGCGCAAGGATTTTGAACATCTGAAGTGTTGTGACAAGCGTGCAGCGACCTTGCTTCAGGATGTGCGCTAGGCATTCGACAGATGACCCCTTGTATGTAAACGGAGCCGCAATGGATGCGTCTCCCAACTTGACCACCTCAAGGGCCTCGTCCTGTTCTAACTCCTATGAAATAGTACATGAACAAACATAAACAACAGAAACTTTCTTCTTAGCTCCAGCCAAGCTAACAAACTGGGGCTTGCTAATTTCGAATAGGAAAGGCAATGCTTACGCTCGGTTCAGGGTCGGAACTACTTTCGCTTGTGCGCCCTTGATCTTGAATTAGTGCAACGCTGCCAGCACAATCGTCCTAAGGTTAATAAAAATCTAATTAGTTTGAATTTTCTTAGAACAGCGCATACTGAGCAGTATCCTATACTTGAACAGCGCAAAATACTTGAACTACATAGATGGCCAATACAGCAGTCCACTTGTAAAGAGTAAAGACTCGCATACGAACAGACTGTGTGGGAATGTACGGCTCTGTCATACCTTAAGCATCTGTTCCAAGGCTGCGCGCGTACGTTCCCTAGGTGGCAGCCTTTGCAGCAACTGATCGGGTCGTGGCCGACGCTTCACTGGCTTGGGTTTCGAGGGCCCGTCTGAAAGTAGCGCGACACCGACATGAGCGTGTTTCAGAGCTCCCATATCATTCGTTCCATCGCCTGTCATCGATGTCACCATTCCAATAGCATTTAGCCGTGTAATAATCATTTCTTTTTGTTTGGGCTGTACACGAGCAAAGACGCGTACGTGCGCTAGCGCCTTTGTGCCGCACTCCTTCTCAAACATTTCAAGACCGTCACCCGTGACACAGAAGTCGTGGTTCGGAGGTAGCCTTGGTGAAAGTGGAAAGTTATTTTCATTGTGCGCTTTCCATAGACGCTCATCTGGGTCCAGAACCAGACAGGGCCGAGACACGAAGTTGAGCTCACGCGCGATGTGGCATGCGGTAAGCGGTGCGTCGCCAGTGATTATTGTAACGTGATGCGATGAGTGACGAATCTGGCGGATGGCCTGCAGGGAGTCCTTTTTGATCGGGCAGCTCACAACGAGAAAACCGCAGAACTGTAATTGCGACTCTACTTGATCTCGGGTCATCTCACGAAGGGCCGAACTCTCGAGAGCGCCTAACTCTCTGTAAGCCAAGGCCAGCACTCTAGCACCGTTAAATGACAACTCTTGGTGTGTTTTCTCATACCCTTTCGGCACCTCTTTTAACATCTTCTGAATTACTTCAGGAGCACCCTTTACCGTAGCTACGTATTCTACCATAGTTGTTGTCCTCAGGCTCGACGAAATCACTGACATCCTTCCTAGCGCTGAGCTAAAGTGGAATCTCCGATGGATCTTGACACCGGGCTGTTTAGCTTTGTCTGGGGTACAAACGTCTCCTTTTCCGACGGACCATTCAATAGAAGCCAACGTAGCTTTTTCCAATGGATCGCCGACCAGGCCAGAATCAGTTTGCACAAGGGAGTGGCATGACACCATTACCCGTATTGCCTCCGCCGACGAGTTCTTGGCTGCGGTAACTTTCCCGTCCAACTGCGCCACGCCGTCAATTTGCAGTTTGTCCGAGGTAAGTGTACCCGTTTTGTCGAAGCAACAAATACTGATTTTTCCGGCAAATGGGATCCTGAACGCTTCCGTGCAAAAGATCCCCAGTTTAGCCAGAGCTAATAGAGAAGAGTTCACCGCTAGGGAAAGCTCGATAGGCAGCTCTGGAGGGATCACTGAGGTGAGGATCAATGTGCATTCTAGCATTAGTTTGTATCGGCTGCGATTGGGGTCTTGTATTCCTTTGGTCCATACGTACGAAGCTGCGGCAATTGCAAACACAAGCAAGAACAAAATGAACGCAAACGTCTCCTTATTGTTTGCCGTGACCCGCTTAACTCCAAATAAGATCGTTCTCAATAGTTTGCCCTGAGAAGTGCTAAATCCCGTTCGTAGCACGAAGCCCAGGCACCCGCTGTCGGTTGGCTTTATTCCTGTGGCAACCTTACCAGGACCCGTATGCTGCAACACTTTTGTACCGCCTGATAGGACATGCAGTTTCGTATCTGTCTGCAGATCTAGAACCCGACTGAGATTGTCACATTGATCCAGACCTTCCTTAATGAGCGGAATCGACTCGCCAGTAAGTAAAGATTCGTCGACGACTGCAGTTCCTCTCAATAGCAGCACATCACAGGGCAGCGCATCGTCAGAACGCGTTACTGAAATTAGGTCACCAGGAACCAGTTCTTGACTAGAAAGATGTATCCAGCGACGATTCCGATAAACTAGCATTCGTCGAGGACACGTATAGTCGGCCATTCGTCGAATTTCTGACAAGTTACGCATTGTTTGCTGGACAAGTGTACACTCAAACATGACGAGCATCATCAGGGTGAACAGCGAATAGTACCAGTATTCATCTAAGCACCACAAACCCACGCAGAACACCTGAAATGCGTCAGATCGAATAATATTGCAAATAAGTCGTCGACAGAGATTGCGATCAAACTTCTCAGCTCATGTAGTGTATGGATTGTATGGGTATATATATGAGTGTATTTAAGCGAACTCCTTTCCAAGGCAACACGTCACACGGCGGTGGCTTCACATGTCTCACGTTTCACACAACACTAATTTTTACAAAAACTGCTACGCTCAGCCTATACGGGTAATTACACTAAATATGTAATAATATACTGACGTTCGATCACACAAGCTTGGCAAGCCAAATATACATCAATGTTATTTGGCTTGCGACCTTATGCATAAGTTCGCATGTATGAAAAATGCAAATACGTTGCGATGAAAAATATTTGAAGAGCATAAGAAACCGTAATTGACTAACCTGAAAAACAAAAAAAGGAGCTGTTGCTCTTTCGATAAAGAGAGGCCAGAAATCCGGTGCATCAATAGATTGAATATTTGCACCGAAATATGATCGAAGTTGTCCAGCTCTCTCGTCGTCAATTCCTGAAATCCCGCAGAAACAATCTCAGTTATTCCAACATGACGTTAACAAGCTCGAGGCGGAGGCCTCGATAAATGACTACTGAGTAGGAAGATACCGAACAAGTCTTTTTGGCAAAATATACAATACATGCATAAGGATGTGCACATACGTGCGTGTGATCCGTGGAGTTTTCACATTGACGTCAATAACTAAGCCTCACTTACCGTGCTCTCACATTTTGTAAACTTCATAAAAGTCAGAAATTAATAAGATCTGGTCGTTTCACCAGATCAGTACTCCTTAATTAGTGACGCACGCGTACATTAAGGTCATCGATGGGCATGCATTGCAACTAAAGTTGCAACTAATGCAGAAAATGGTACATTTGGTTGGAGTAAATACCATTATTTTACTATTATTATTATTATATTTTTATAGCAGGACCATTATTTTACTTACCGTTAGCATTAACATAGGCCGATAGCTCATTTTCAATGGGATATTGTAACGGCTCGAACTGCTCTGATTCCGCGTTAAGAATATATTTTGTTTTCTATAACATATGAAAAAATAAAACGATACCAGTACAGTTACTATCAAAAAGTTTATAGGGTGAAAAGTTGCTAACTGGTCCTTGCCAAAGACTAAAAGGGTCCAATTCAACACTGAAGTGTACACTGGGCATTACATTTCAAATTCTCTTTTCGTTTTTCAATAGGATCATGTAAAGACACTCATACAGAAGTAAAATAAAACAATGTCTTCTGTATTATATAATACAATTCAACAAGTCATACAGAGAAACACATTTTCTTGTGGAATACACTTTAATACTAAACCTGAAAGATGAAGAAACGATTCTGACGATCTCTGCAAAGTGGTACGAACTCTGCGCTACCATTATTTTCAGTTGGACGAACAAGACACGTATCGGCTGCAGCTGGACGTGCGCGCGAACAACACAAAGCTCGCCGAAAGCTTACAGACCAGTGCACTGCTAGCCATACCAAAGCCTATCGAAACACGTAATAAACACATACAGGAGATAATCCGTAATAGTTAAACCATATAAAATTACGTTTTAACGAATCCAGTTAGTAATTACATTCACAATTTGGCTGATGCTTTCAGACCAAGCCGAAATCAATGAAGCCGCAATTACTAGCAATGGTAAATAAATCAAAGAACGACCGATCGCACATGGCACGGTATAGGCATTGGTACGAACGTATTACGCAAACACCTAGTGGTTATTTGCAACTAACGTACAGATAATACAAGGAAATATCATTATTATTACTATGCACAGATGAGTACGATGTTAATGGAAATCTACCTTTTATTCCAATAACAAATGTGTAATCGAGAAAATCAGGGTTTCTTTCGAGGATGGATTAAAGCTACGGAAGGGGTTCAAGCGGTTAGTTAACAAATAGAAGTTGAAATATTGAAACAAAACAAAACATGCTTAGAAGTCCTTAGGGGCAACATCAGGCGATTTAGCAAAATGCAATTATAATCATGAAAATACTCAACTGCCTTATTACTTATTAATCAATAATCACAGATATTTAAATTAATATCGAGTACAACGCCTGCATATAAACCAAACACTACCTGTATGACAAAGATGGCTGGCAGAGCAAGAAGACCATACTCTGATCCAGGACCAAGAACGCCTGCCCAAAGTACGTAGATAATTCCAAACGGCCATACCTGAACCCGTGCAATAAAATAAGGTCATATTATTAGCATTAATAGTAGTGTTGAAAATAAGGTAAGCTTTGCAAGTAATGAATTTAAAAAAAAAATGTAAGATTTAAAAAACGATACGAACAATTGCCAACGATCCGTCGCGGAAGTATTATTTTTACAGAATACGTTACTGTGAATAAGATGTCAATAATAGCCTATTATATTTAATAGTGTCTTTAAGGGAAATGATAGAGGCCAGTACATGCGTGAGTATAATATGAAAAACTCATTCTAGCTCCCTTTATTTAACGATAGTTCGGCCTTTAAGCTAGATCGAAATATTGTTTCCGAAACAAGTTCTCATACAAAGTTTTTATTACAGGTGAACTACATACAGTAGACATATAGGAAAAAAAAACAATTACTCTTACGGAAATAATCTAAAACTTTTTTTTTAATTAAACAAGTTATATTAAAGTGGTTATGACCAAATTACGATGGTGAACTAATTTCGAGTTAAAGAAAATGAATATTCAAACTGTTAGCATAGCCTCTTGTTACCCTTCCATCACTAAGAGGTGCACGCCACTTGAAGGTCTCTACTGTAGATACCAGATCGTCGAGCGCCATCTCCAAAGTTCTATAAAATAAAAAAAAAAAACAAATATTAAGATGCATAGAGCCTAGAGAAATCCACTTAAGTTCTACAAAAAACATTAGTGTTATTATAAAAAATGTATAATCAAACAACTTTATTCTAGATGAACCCAAATCGTACCATTAGTAGGGCCTTAAACACATTACTAGTGGATTTCAGAGGTATTATACTACCATATTGTGACCATGACAAATTCGATTAATAAGGAAAGAGGTAATTATTTAGATTGAGATGCATACCCTTTGCTTAAGTAGTCATTGAAAGTTGTAAACGTAAACCGAAGCAATGTAAATATTTGTTAAAAATAGACGACAAAGCTAAAAAGATCCTTATAATATACCAAATAAGTTTGTGGACTCGATAATCTCAATAATAATCTCAGATAATCAGTTAAATAGATTTTGATAATGTTAAGGTTTGGCTTAAAGATGACAATTAGCATTAAAAACCCCACGCTGCCCGACTAAGCACGGTTTAACATTTAAAACTATAAAAAATGTGCCGAGTACCTGGGATGAGGTGGTTTGCATCACGCGTTCCCTTTTTCAATAGCTATGGAGAACATTCATCGTTATCATTATCACGTACATCGAGTGATAACAGCCACTGGGTCCCGGTAAGTGCTGATAAAACGTGCCAAGGGCACTCGTCCACCGACCAAATTGTCCATTCTGACATTCACGGTGCACGACAAAATATCTCCATTCACTATGATACATAGGAAGAAATGTTTTAAACCGGGTGGTTGTCGCTCTTGCGTTTTATTTTTTTGCCAAGTGTGACGCACAATTCAGATCGTCCAGGAATGTAAAAAAACTAGTGGAAGTCTCAAAAAGTTGATACGGCTTAATTGCGATGGTGCCTCATTGCGTCGGATGCAGGGACTTTTTCGAGAATTTAGTGGATAATTTAGCAGTTTTAGATAGCGGAAACCTTGACAAGCAAGTAAATTATTAAAATGAACGACTCAGAGCTTTGACAGTGCAAAGCGAAACGTTCGAAGTCAGAAGGGTAAGTAAAGGTAAATGATCTATGGAAAGCTAAATCGTTAACAGAAACAACGTCTTGCAATCATGGCGCGAAATATTTTCAGTAGAACGACCGATGGCCACTTGGCTGGCACGAAATCTTGGGTATTTGTGAAAAAACCAAAAAGACTGCTAAAATACAAAATGCTGTAGAGAAACCAATCAACTGTTCGTTCACAGCTTGCTCTAGTGAAAATATTTCTAGCTTCAACTGTGAAACATGTTCGTTATTATTTGCTATCTCCGAAACACTTCGATTCAGCTTCTAATTATTTGTACGAACCGAAACATTTCGTTTTATGCTGTCGAAACGTGGAAATGATCAATGGTTTGTCAAGTTTTCCATTGTCTTAAATTGCTGAATGACTAACCACATCGTCAGAAATAATCACCTCACAATAAACGCAATCACTTGTTTGTCCACAGCATTGACCTCTCAAAATTTCCATTGCTTCTTTTGCTATTAGGACTGCGCGTTACACTGAGCGAACGATAGAAAATGCATTACCCAGCTGGTTTATATGTAATCACGAGACACCTTTGCCAATGTATTACAGCGATAGGTTTGTTGTATCATCAGAATGTAAAATCCTTCGTAAAACCTTCGTCGGTGGGCGACTATTTTGGCACGCTTTTAGCATTAATTCTAAGTTTACTGATCTATGTTAAATGCGACAATTCAATTTACGAACCTATAAAATGCAGTAACTGCTTATGTGACAAATATAGTTTAATAAATTATTTATTACTGTATCACCGGGACCAAGTTGTCTAAAGCGACAAGCTGGCTGAAGATTTTTGAAACAGTAGTTTGATTTAGAATGAAAATGAACGGTATATGCGCAACATGTGTCACGCGTTGTAGTTCTTGAGTGGTCACATTCGCTATAAAAAATAACTAATAAAGAACCTCCCTAATATGATATCACACGAAGAACAATTAAACCGGCGTGCTACTTGAATAAACATACAGAGTTTGCCGATTTGAGGTCACTGCTTATGTTAATAGGATCAAGCAAAGATATTTCTGCGCGCAACATAATCAGCGAATACAATTGCTTCGTGACCATCAGCATTGACGTGTCACCTTTGCCAAGTACAGATATTCCATGTCTAATAATCGTTTCTCATTAATTTTTAATATATTGCATTTTAGCTTTTTTTATGTCTTATAATATATATGAATAAACAGAATCATCTAAAATGTAATTAGAACATCGATAGGCCCCAATAAAATGTGTGCTATAATAAGTTGTAAATAGTCGTGCGTACGCAAAGTTAATCAATTCCTCGGAATACTAATACTGTTATTCACGTTATTAGCACATCATGTTAATGATACGTGGCCTTTTAAATTCATGACAATCGACTTCTACAACGTGAGGAATCATCTGAAAGTGGTTTTTCAATATGAAAAAAGGAAGACAACTTTTCTGTTTTAACAGCATCTGTTTAGTCACAAGAGCTAATTGGTGAAAACACTGCGGCACGTATAGCTGCTTCATTTGTGTAAATATAACACGCTCGACGGTAGTAGTCTGTGACAAAGCACGAGAAAAGCGGAAAACCTAGATATATTTACTTACAAATATTAAAGCGCACGATTGCCACCCTTAACTGGAACACCACGCTTCAATCAGCGCAGTTGCACGTCTCCTGCAATGGTCGAGAGTTTTATTGCACTATATCCCCTACAAATTTAGATTTTCCCTATGATCTGTCAACAGAAACACTACTTTTGACAATCCGACCGAGTATAGCACACCGCTGTACGAATCGACTGTCGACTTAGCCCTGCCGACAGAAAACCGCTAGCCGCGGAGGTGAAGCGGTCGCAAATTGGAATCAACAAAATTCGCCACCAACTAGATCTTCAGTATAACAAAAGTATTATTTGGATTGATTCCTCTGCGAGTTGGAAAGGAAACCTGTTCGAGTAAATAATACGCTTGAGGATGTGATTCTATGTATCTTAGCAGACGATTTTTTTAAAACAACGCGCGGAACTGCTGCTACCATTCATGCAGATCATCGCATGAAAAAATTTGATATAGCCAATTTTCCGCTGAAAAGTTCTTCCTTATCATTTACATTTATCGAGGTTCTTACCACGGACGAAGATGACTTCCGTGTAGAAATAAAAGTTACGCCGCGAAGAGAATTAGTAAGGAGCCGACTCGGTCCGTGTTTGTAACCTTAGATTATCTCAGGCCATACGGAATAAAAATGTTTATTTTTGCTGTGCGCATCATGGAAAGTTACTGAAAATAGGTTATCTCATTTTAATGGTACGTCTATTAGACACTACTATTATACAATACGCAAGTCAGATCGCATAGAAAACTCTGTTATTATCAGGTGTGTTGTGCGCTCATCGTTACTGCATTTTCGTCTTTACTACTGTGAGGTTAGGTATGCTAACGCCATAAATACAACAAAGCAACCTTGGAATGTTTATAGGTACATCCTGCCTCTCAAATATAAGCTATAACGACAAAGAAGTATATAAAACGACACTTTCGGGGACAAGTTAGTCTTGGAATTGTTGATTAGCAAGCAAGTGATTTAAGTGGTGAATAAGCAGCGCCTCTGATAAAGATATTTTTACGTTCCAATTTTAACTTTCTTGGTGCTTGTTAGGTAATCCCATTATTATTATGCTTTTATTATAGTTTTTAAGCTTATTTGAAATAAAAACGATTTGCATTATATTGTCCGATGAAAACTGAGTAGCAGTGAGTTATCACAAGTGCGGAATCTAATTGGAAAAACTTGCACGCCATGGCGTGACAATTGCCTAAAATTGGGTAATCCTGCTGAAGGAAATTTGAACAGTTTAGGCAAATGTAGTGCGTAGAATATAAAGTAGCCACCACAGTGATCGATAGAAAACGTAGAGTGAGAATTTTTTATTTATGTAGGGTGTCAGAAAGAGCACCCCTATCATTGAACGGACAGCGTAAGCTTTTTAATTATCCAGTATAATTACTATTTTACTATAATTATAATACCATTCTTGCCATAATAGCATTCCCATCTGGACTAGCCTCATCATAAATAGCATGTCGTACGTACATCTATCCCACCTGTTATCAATACTCATTTGTACAATACAAATAAGGGTTCCGCGTTTTATGTATGGTAGTGCCGTGAGGCATCGCTTCAAACTAATATACAAATGCATTAAGCTATTCAAACAGTGGCGGTTTTTCTTACGCCTAACGAAGAACTCAATGATGTACTCGAATTTCAGCGACAAATTTATTTATTATATGTTCGCTGTCGTTCTGTGCGTTCTTCTCATATCTCTTAACCAATTTATTTAGAAATTTTCAGGTGTCGAAAGATTAATTCACGTGTTCTTCAGATTATTTTTGTCGTCAAATGTATTGCTGTAAATTTCATCCAGTAGTGATCAGAAAAAATAGTAATTATCTCGGCGTGAAACCTGAAGTATACGATGGGTGCGAAAAACACTCACTCAAGCTTCTGCAGGACTCTGTTCGACGGGCCTTGCCACGAGTGGCTTACCAACAGAGTTAAGAAGGGTGACCTTACCTTGGATCCCTCGGGTTTTCTCTGTCTGATATCCTTGTTAATTCGATGCAACCGGGCCACATGCAGATCTGTATTTGCCATTTAGTTTTTCTAAAACATTGCGCAATATATGAGGTTTGTTTAGCTCACCAAACACCTCGGCTTGGATGGAGACTTGATTTAGTTCTGGGCTCGGACGTATCGACGTAAGAGGAAGAGTGCTCTTGAGTGATATGTAGGTGAAAACAAACAAGGGGATATAGGAGAATTACCTAAGCATTTGATAGTACGATTGAAGAAGAAAACCCAGACGTATAAAGTACTGCTTGTATTTTCCAGTCTAGGCCAGCAGTGATACAATTGCAGTAAAATACCTCAATCATGGACTGCGGTAAGTAAGGTGCTGAGTATGTATTATAAGACTCGACGCTGTACACAGCGGTAACAGGGAATAAAATAAACTGTCGTTGGCCTTGTTTAAGTATACCGCCCGAAACGCTGATAGGTTAGCAGTATTCCTACAACTCGCTTTTGTGTATGATATGACGCCGTAACACTATTGGTTTGTATAAGACGATGACTAAGCATAGAAGCAATATGCGCATCGAAGGCCATGGTCACGGCTGTTGCTATAAAAAAAAAGCAGTCACTGAAAACAGATTAAAAGTTTTTTCGTTTAAAGGTTACACCGAGTGCCATAGACGGAGCATTATTTCTGCTTATTGTCGATAACATACGACGTTACACTTGTTAGCTTGTAACAGCTTAAAGTATCTTGAGTAATCTTGAGACTTTAACTGATTACGCTTGTAGATGATTATTAGCGATGCGTGCTATCAAAGTTCGATCACTCTAGATAGGTAAATAACGGCATATTCGGATACAAATAATTATACTACTAGATGGAAGTAAATAAATAAATGCTAATTTAAAAGCAGGATCTCTGCTCGCAGCTTTATTTTTTCTGTGAGTAACGTGCACGTACATACGTGTTTCTCTAGGTTAGTGTGCGTGTGATGAAGTACCTCTAATGCTACGGCGCCACCTAGCGGTGGGGTTCAAGGACATGCTCTTCGACAGTACACAACAGAACACTCTTCAGATCGTACGAAGTAAAATTACTTGATTGTATTTTATTGTGAATATTCTAATCGCAACTCCAAACTATAGAAAGCATTCGTTTTGAAATTGATGAGATGGTCTTCTTAACAATGACGTTCTTCACATCAGAGTTATGACGAAATATCTCAGTCATCGAAAGAAATTTAGCTCGTCCCATTTGAGACTGAGCAATGAATGGCGCTAAGGAATCTCTGTTTTCTAAAATAACTTCCCGAACATTTGTAGACGACTCGCGTGGTTTACACAGAAATTCATCCATCCACAGGACCGCTCAAAACTAGTGCAACACCTCGCTAGTTGTGAGCTTATTTATATTATAATAATTGAAATAAAGGCCGGCCACCGATTCAACCCTGAGAACTGTAATATAATTAACGGCAAGAAGCACCGAACCTTGGATAATGCGATTATAGGCAAAGACTTCTGTGATGACGTGCCGTTGCTTATCAGGTTACTTTTTTATCAATGGCATGGGAATGTCAAGATTCCGCAAACTTTCGAAATTAACCTGTTTTGATCTCTTTCTTACAATTGCGTTGATAGAATAATAATGACACTCAGGGGCTGCTGGACTTTATCTAAAACTCACTGAGCGAAAACATGGTTCGTATCATATTCGTACCGCAAGTACACAAGTTCATTATTAGAAAATGGAAATGAAGGTCATATATAAGTGAGTGTTGCACATAAATTACGTGCCTATAACAAAGAAAACTATTAACACACAAACAAGCGAAGTGTAAAAGATTCAATTAAATGTAGGCGCCAGTCATCTTCAAGGAAATACTCCGTTATTTTCCATTTGAATTCTTTAAAAGCAAGGAATAATGCTTGCTTTGGATTAAGATGTCAATTGTAAACGATTCAGGTTTGAAAATTAGGGCTTTGTTGCAATAACTGGTTCCAAGAATTAGATTAACCTAGAGCGAATCTTATCTAAAGACCTAGAGAGTAATTCGACGATGTCCGTAAACTGGATGACGATTATAGAAGGATTGAAATGTTATTAGGTTAGCAATATATTATGATCCTGGCTGACTTCGGACTTAAATACCCATTGAACCACGCACTACTAGCGGAGGAAATTACGCTTGTAAATACTCCACTTTTCTGGAAATTTGTGAGTAAAAACCGGTCTAATTACTCCAGGAGAAATGAGTTCAGAATGGAAAACATCTTTGTCTCGAAAATGAACGTTAATGGTCGATTTTTATTGTTTTCTTTAAAAGTTGTTTTTCCTCGAAAGCCATACTACTGTAGAAAAAAATAAGTAAAACATTAGGCAAAGAGGTATCAAGTGAAAACACAGTATGCGTATGATACAAACGTTTTAAGAATGGAGATTGAAGTATTAGAGGCTAGCGGAGAGCTGACCAGATTTTAAGACACGAAACGTATTGTTACAGTCAAACAGGTTTTCCACGGAAGCAAAACTTGTAGTCAGGGGCTACGTCGGCCAAAACTAGAGTTTGATAATATAACGTGTTACAGAACTATAGTCTAAGTACTGAAAATGCCAGAACTGAATAAAAATGTGTTTTCAGGAAATTGACCCCAAGTCAGTTGAAAATGCGTGTGGTGTATTCCACGTCCAATTTGCAAGATTTTATTCAACAAGAGAGCCGCCGGGAGCACACTGTCGCCTTAAATGAGGCAGGATTCAATTTCTAGCATTAAATACAGAAAAATTAGGTATGAGAGGGCTGTCATCCTGTAGAGAAATCAAGTTATGGGGTAATGACGAATGGGGGCGAGTGTAAGATGATCGTAGTTTTTGCCATGAAAATTGGAAGCATCTGCTGTAATAAAACAATTGGCGTAATGGGATGGATGTAGCTCGTAGATGGTACTCGGAAGACTCATGGACCGTTGGAACGACAGTCGGAAGTATGTCGTTTGGTTACTTACTGAGAACGTCAAATCCTATCGTCACGCCTCAATTATTTCATGGATTGAGCAAAGGAATATCCAATGTTGGCTTCAAGCCGCTCACTCCCCGATGCACGTCCGTGTGATTACGGGGCTTTCCATACCCTAGAGAGGGCAACTGGTAGGCAAGCTTATTCCACCATCGATTTATTTCGAGAAGCCATAGGGGAGAAATTACCAATGGGAACGTAAATAGTAGGTACAAGGCTGCCCCAAAGCTACCACAGCGCTTGAAAAATATCTGCGACACATATTAAAAATTATCGTTCTAGCCCAACTAGTTCGAAAGTTATTTAATTTCAAAGTCTGTTGGACTCGCTTGTAACAACCAAACACGTAGGTAATATCCAATATAGCGTGTCGTAGGCGAAATACCTGAATGAAAAAGTGCGCGACATCTCTGAGGAAGAGAACCATTTTAAAAACCGGTAATCACCTAATTACGCAACTATTACCTACATCCCATGCTACAATACTGCGGTGCGATCGAACAGAGGAAAAGACGCAAGTGATAAGGATAATAGCGTAAATATTGAGCTACAAGGCTTATTAATGATGAAGTCATACATGAAACTACGTATATAATATAGTTCAAGATACGTATGTTTCGTCTGCAGTTCTAATTTTAACGGTCGAGCTTAGCGAGAACAGAAATTATAAGAACTCTTGTTCATAAGGAAATCCGAAAAGTGACAGTTTCAACATATTAAATTATTCTAAATATAATTTTTTCAGAAAAAATAATGCATTGCGGTACATACGTAGAGTTGCGCCTAAGTGACTATTCGCCAAATCCATATATATCATTTAGGACACCCATCGGATCAATTAGCAAGCGCGCATCAAAATAGAATGTAATTAATCACATATTATAATCAAAATAACAGTATGAGGACAATACAATTACAATGAACTTTTTTTGAATGAAGTGTCATTTATTCAAGGGTAAGCGTTCTACCGGTAACTTCGCTTCATCTCTACGCACCTACTTTAAAAAAGCCCTTAGAAACACGAGGTATAATAGTAATATAAGGAAAAAGAAATGCAAACTCAATAGGATTAATCTGTTACAACCGAACCTAGTGGACCTTAAAATTTAATAGCCTTTGAAATATCTGAGTTAAAATGATGATTTTTAATTGGTGTTATAAGTACCCTTCTCAGACCCGTTCCAGTGCTTTGGGAGCTTCTGAATAGCCGTATACCTACCAATTCGCGTTGCTATAAGTAACTGCTCTAGCTATGACTCCTTAAAGTATATCCATAGTGGTATACGCCTGCTCACCAGGTAACCTTTTTTAGAGCATGTAAAGACGTTTAGCCACACACACTAAGGGTTGAAGCCAACGTTGAGCATTAGAAAGTAAGGTATGGCGATGTCGTCTGGTAACCAGATTGCGCACTTTCGAGTGCAGTGCCAACAGCTTATAAGCCTTTTAAGGAACTTCAGATAGCGGACTGCATGAATTATTTCATTTTTGGTGAGTATCTTATCATAATGTATGCTCTGATGTTGGGTGCAAATACTACCATCGGTTTACATCCGAACCTGCTGAAGACAGCCGCCAATTTCTTTCCAGGGGGACCTTATTCTTTCGCCTAGCTCTTCCTTGGCTGCTGGTAGCGATCGAATCATGCCTCACCCATTAAAATCCCGAAAATTGCACGTGTTTAAAAAAGATAAAATGATTCTATCAATAAAATATGATACACAGCATGCATTTCCAGTTAGCCCAGAGTCAATTGACGCGGGCCCATTTTTTACTTAATTTCCGTATATTTAGTATTTAGGATATAATTTTGTAAAACGTTACATATGTTACAAAATTATACTCCCCAATACCATGTCAATTTTGGCCAACAGAGCTTTTAGAGTGCTAGATCCATTTACTAAAAAGCCACCTTGATTGCGACAATGTACCCTTGTCCTTCGAGTCCTAACAACTGGTCGACTTTTCGCTGGTTTTTAGCATTCCAATCTCCTTTCTTGAGACGTTTGCACCACTCATGTACTATGCTTTGGCTCCAGGCCTATTTGACTAATATTCTAATCAATCTTCAATGAATTTCCGCAGAACTGTGACTTTCGAGGAATAAAAAAATTGAGTACTGAACATTGATTTTTGAAACTGAATGATGCTTTTCCTTCTGAATTTGTTTTTCATAGAGTAAACTTAATTAGGCTTTTCTCGTAAGTTTTTAGAGCAGTGAAGTATTTGTCGCTAATTTAATCTGCTAGTGGCACGTAGCTCAAAGTTATTCATTTTCAAAGTCTATCAGGTTCGCTTGTATTTGATGGAATTTGATAAACTACTTTTTTGGGCGTGTAGACGGAATCAAGACGAAACGTCTTCAAGCTACGCGATGTCAGTATCACACCATTTGGACATAGTAGCTGAATCACAACGATTAGTCAAAATTTAATATAACACATAACTTTTAACGGTTTTAAAGGACCAGATAAATATCAAATCTATCCTAGACAGCTAGCGCCCTTTTCCTCGCAATTATTAGTTATTATTAGGGATTTTCATCTACTTTTACATAACAAAAGAAAGATAGAACCTAGGTATGAGGCAAGTAACAAGAAGAAATACGTCGAGTCACAGAATTCAAGTTAGCGGCCCCCAGCTTTTCACATCGGGGGGTCTGTAGAAAAAGAACCTGAACATTGAGATCGGAAATGAGAAATTCAATAGCCCCGATACGTAATTAACACAGGTATTAATCAGAGTGTTTGATGCATAGAAAAAAAGACGTGAATACAGTTGGCGTAATAAAACGAGCAGTTAGAATTTGTTGCGTCACAAGCATTTCTTGGTAACGACAATTGTAAGGGGAAACTAGCAAAACTTCTACTTTATCGGCTTTTAAAAGGCATACCTTCGGCAGAAATGCTGGCTCAGTTTGGAATGTGGAAGCCCAAGGTATTTTGACGTTTGCTTGTTACCCACTGATTATTATACAGTCATCATTGTACCGTACATAAATCGCTTATATTTTGAACAAACGTTACGCAGTTAATTTTGTTTAGAGGGGCGTTTCTTGTTGCAACATGAAGCTTTAGGTTGTTTTCTGAACTAGGGGTGACAAAGATTACTTTCATTTAACTATGTGTCCCTGTGGTGAAGCTTCAGTTCAGTCAAGCCTCGAATGTCCATGCCATAATTTCTTGATTATTACCCGCCCAAAAAGCGAGACTAATATAAGAGAGTCTATAGCCGAGAATAACCGGTTACCCTACGTTTTTTTGTGTGTCTTGGTTGTATTATGATGTTTCTTCAAATATTGTACGACATAACATCCTAAAGATACGTTGAATTAGCGAACGATATTGAAAGCAGTTGTTCTTAATGTTAAATCAAGAGCTTCGTGAAGCAAACCTCCGCTTGCTTTGCAGTAATAATTGAAGTAACAGGATACTATTGAAGTCCATTGAAGGTCACCATCGGCAGGATCTGCTGGCACACTTTTTCCTGAGTTCCGAGTTGGTGTCTTTCTATTTTTTTTAATTCGTTTTTTACACGAATAGGACCCTGCTCCTATCGGGCCCTAACATGAATAAAGGGGCTGTGTTCCCTCTAGAAAACATGATAACTATTTTAGATTAAGCGTGGCTACTGAAGGCTGCATGCATATACAAAAACGTACTAGGCTGTGCTGAGAGCAAAAACAGTTTTATTTATAATTTGTCTGTTTTTTTTTGCTTTAAATAAGGGTAGATGTTACGTGTCTCCATTATGTATCTTAGTTGTGTTTCATTTTACCTTTCACCTACAACCATAGAGGGTGCTGCCATATATTTGCGGTGCCTGAATGTTGATTCTTGTTAAAGTGACTCTGCCTTCCTAGAGGGAAAACTCCACAACACCTAAAGATGGCGCTACGAAGTCATTACTGAAACCTCAAAACCATAGTAACTCGACCCTCGTAAAGCAGTAATAGTACCAGAAGAGTACATGATGCCTATTTGAGTGGTGCTGTTTTTTTTTTAATAGGACCACTTCCATAGGCTGTCGATAGCTGTTTCGATCTGTGGGTCGATGGGACATACTGGATCCACGGATATTTATTACTTCCATTAATTAATGTACTGTGTGGCATGATATAATGTGCATATCGTGCCTCGTATCAGATGTACGATTAATTGATTTTTGCGCTCATTTCTCTGCTGAAAAGCTTTATCTGCACCGCTTTTCGCGGGGATTGTGAATTTGGTCGTGATTGCCACTTGACGATTGATGCGCTGGGTGATGCCAATTACTCGTGGTGGGACACTTGCCGATTCATTCGTATGGCTTCCGCTGGAATGTAGTCGTCCGGCGTAAGTTGCTTCACACCCCGAAGCAACGCTAACAACTGTTAAGAAAACAGAGCAGATATAAAAAGCAAGCTCAGGTGACGTTACCTATATATCAGCAAATATAGCAGGACGAAAAATGATTTTAATAAATTGGAAACTCAGCGTATGTACATCCCGTATATTCTACTCAGGCAACTAGAGCTCACAGATGTGGAGCCTCTTGCTTTAAATAAACGAGGCACTTCAGATTGCAATTCAAAGTAAAAACTCATATATCGTATATATCAATGAAATTCCAATACTTACCAACGTAAAACTAAAACAGACTCATGAAACGTCTTGAACAAGGGCAATCAAAGAAACATTTTTTGTGTGTCGTGCACTATTCTTTTTCCATTCGTCTCTCATCTCCTCCTTGTCCTCCCCATGCTCCCCCTCCTCCTCCGTTTGCTTTTAATTCCTTTTCTCTGCCACTCTTCCACTCGTCTGCTATATCTTGCTACGGCGTAGCCCGCTTCCTCTCCTTCTCTTTCGTAACATGTCTTCCAAACAGGAAAAAGGGTTAGGGCTTCTTCTTAGCTTTGTTGTTATTGTTGTTGCTGTTGTTGTTATTTTGCTTCAGCTTAAACTGCCCTAGCTTGCGTACGGATGGCAATCATGTCGATGACGAATCCCAGTCACTTCTTTCAAGCCCCTTCAGATCGCCCGCCCCGGTGCCATATTCATAACTCGAAGTGTATGGACCGCGTGCTTCGGGCTCGCCGGGCGAGAGAAGTAACAGCTGAAGCAAAGCAAAAATAATAAACGTTGGCATGCTTTGCATTAACACTACATTGCATCATCACCTATGTCGAATCGAATGACATACTACAGTATTGTAAATAGCCATTTGCGTACGGACAGCCATGGAAGATAACCCGAACTATTGTGTAATGCCCAGGACTAAGGCATACGTAGAGGCAGAATGCTCTAATGTGTAGTATGTCAGTAACAGATGTATCGAGTTTATCACTAATTAAACAATATAACAAAGTTCGCATAAAATAATATCCCCCCCCCCTCCCCCTTTTTTTTCATTCAATACATTAAGGAAGACAATGGCGGAGCAACAAAAGGTGGGGCAAGGGGAATGGTAAACTAGTGATCAAAGAGGCATCCCACAGAGACGTCACAAATGTAGAAAATTCTTTATCGTCCCACTGTTCCCACAGAGATTAATGCTTAGTATGGCCCATTACCTCATCAATCCTCTTTCTCGGGCGAGACCTTTCTGTCAAGCATTATTTGTAAAATCCGCCATTTAGGATTATACTCCATGAAGTGTGTGCATAGATTATACGCTCTAAGACACAGCGTTGCGCCGAAAAACTGCAGGCTACTCTGAGGCATAATATATGGCAAATATCTTGAAAACAGGCCGGTCTCCGTAGGTTACATAAACTTAATATAACTAATTTATACCTCTTTATATATATGGTGGAGATATATGGTGCTATTGAGACATTTCTAAATATGTGTTTTGTGTGCATAAATACATTAGTGATTTGAAACGATTAGTGGGGCCATACATGCATTTTTCTTTTCTATCTGAAAACATCCGCCTTAAAAGTATCTTTTGTATATCGTAGGTCCCGTTATGTTTTCGTTGGCTACTATTATCGCAAGTTTCTGCGCCTTCCATGATTCGAGCCTATTAAACATACCGACGATTTAGATTTTTTTATCAAAAAATAAAGGGCAACAGGTATTTCAAATTCATACTCATGCACCTGCTCAGCACTACAGTCACCTGTTCTATAATGTTCTATTTTGGCAGAATGCTTTACTTGTGAAATGTTAGGTAGATATTTCTGGACGTTGTCCTTTGTTAAAATAAAAGATAAGCAAATAAAGAGGTTTACGCCATAGCTGCGTTAAGAGGGTAGTTCATGTATGTGGTTTACGACATGCTGGTTCCACAAAAACCGTAAAATAACTGCTATCACTACCTGGGCGTCTCACCAAATAATGACTTCTCAGCTGACTGAAAGTCCGTCAGAGAGGAAAGTCATATGCTAATAGTGGAATGTATCTTACTTTTTTGTCGTCGAACTATAGTAATAATAATAATTTACTGTCAGCTCAAATTAAAATGTATCCGACGGCCTTAAAATTGCAGGGGTCGTAACAAATTCATACATCTATTTTTATGTCACCTAAGATCTCTGAAAAGGACATTACACTAACAATCAATTGCTATCGTAAGCTAGGGCGTTTAGTTAGCGACAAATTAACGCTGTTGAAGGTACCAAGTATTATAACTTAAGCAGAAAGCACAGCTGCACGTGACAATACTCAACTGGCACTTTGTAAGTTATTGAAAAATATAATATTGGCTTGCTGAGCAGTTGTTTCTAATATACATAGATAACTCTATGCATAGTTACACTCTATGCAGGCTATTTTCGCTTTTTAATCAATTTCAGCTGCTATCACAAGAACTATCACAAAGACACAAATAGCAATCTTAAGTGGGTTACTGGGCTCGAAAATGTCTTTTCTTTGGTGTCAAGCTCTATTATAGAAAAAAAAACCATCAAACGTAAACTGACCGTTGAAAATTACTATGCAGTGACACGGGCAGGATCTGGTTAGAGAGCGACAATAAAGATCAGCATATAAACGCTCAATTAGCGCCGTACGGCTTTCGATGGGGTGTAGTGAAATACACAAACTATATATAAATCAGCCTGCTACGGGTCGCGTGGAATTGGACCGCGGTAAATCTGAGTATTGCATAGACCTTACTATCGACAAAAAATTAATATCATTATTTATATTATAGTGTTTCAAGGTTGTGTCCTTATTTAGTTCGACAGTGTTAACGCAGATGGGTAAACAAACCTGGCACGAGTTGTAATACTTATAAATAGATTTTTCATTGGTTCGGAACGTCTTATATCAAATTATAACGGAGAAGGTAGTCATAAAAAACATGTTTTGGTTTAGATATTGAGCACTGATGAGAGTATATTTCATACCGACAGGAAAGAGGTCTTCAACTGCACCCCTGAAGAAGGTTCACCGCTTGACTGTCTGCGTTTAATAGAAAAGCATTTATACCATACACTTTGACTAAAAGATATTTATTTACTAATAAGTTTTGTGACATGAGATTTCACGTACTTACCGCTCTTAGAATCTCCCGGATCCGTTCTCGTCGCGCCGGGTCTGCTCTTGTAGGAAGATAGCGTGCCTGCGATTCCACCGACAAGCTGAGTAGTATCACCCCAACTAGGATAAGACCCCACAGAATGCCACGGGCAGACATTGGCGACGACATCCTGAGTTGTTCTCTAGAGACTAGAAGCTATTTGATCTCAACGCCAATAAATATCTGAAATAGATGGAATAACGAAAACATTTTCATACGTGTCCTTTAATTACTGTGGTGCTGACCTAGCAGTTACGCTTCAGTTAGCTTGAATGCGGCGGCAAAGTAATTAATTATATAGTAGATAATTAGGATCCTATTTGTAAGCTTTAAACGTTTAACCCGAATGCTGTAGGTTCATTTATGAATAGCTTATTATATTTTTATTTGTTCTAGCTTCTCCTGACCTTTGCATCGTAAAAAGTCTCTGAAGTTGCACCTAGAAACCTCCCAAACAAAAACTAGGCCGTTAGCTAACAATGGGTAGAATTTCCAACTCCTAGTTGAAAACTTCATATCCAAAGTTATCCGGAGGCTCGATGAATTAACTTCCTATTATCTCAAAAAGTCTGCAAAGCGCCGAACCGAAACCGTACCGTAGAACTACTGTTTTGTTTTCAACGAACAGACCCTACGATTATGTGAGAGCTGGCCGATGAGAAAGACCAATAATTCTTGCTAAAATTCTAGACACAGGAGTGAGGAGAGGAGAGATTGGCATTCTACCAGGAAACCACAACTAGAAAATCAAATGAAATATACTAGTAGCAACATTGGATCGTTTATGGTAAATGTAAAATGTTTCCGGTAATCTATTCATTCTAAGGGTGCCTAAGCTGAAATTCCTTGACTCATTCAGAGCCACTGCAGCGATAATCTTATTATATCTATTGGCCATCTGACCATACAGACATCTTTGATATGGTTAAAACTTAATGACTCACTTGAGTTTTTTTTAAATACCAAACATTTTTTTCGGTCTTTCTTGCATACTTCATCTATAGGTAGCGTTTCTTATTTTACCAATGAAACGATCCATCGTTGTGAATTGTCCTAACAGTAGATTTCATCGTGTACAAGCAATCCTATATTCTGTTAACATTATCCAGTGTTGTTCATGTGCGAGAGCTTCTTCACCCCCCCCCCCCCCCCCCCCCCCCCTCTTTTTTCGTGTTAGCTACCAGCCAAATCGGCATCCATTCCAAGAACCGGCCTTTTTAAGGCCGTACCAATACAAGAAACAGTTCAGCAAATTAGACAAACATTAGGAGCTGCTGTGCAACTATAGACAACCTTGCAAAAAGGATTGCCGCAGGCTCACGGACTGAATGCTCGTCGAATCGATTCTTATCTTTGGTCAATCGGATTAACAAACATCAGGGTAAGCTCCAGGAGCACTTGGTACATTTTTGTGGAACTTAATTTATCAAACAGTCATTAATATCTATGATCCACGACCTCCTTAATTGAAGTACGTTTCCGTTCGTGCCACAAACCATCAGACCTATTTGCATTAAACCGGTAAACTGCGATTGTTTATAATATATGGTACTATTGTACACATACGATGAGAATTATGGCTTGCGAAGGGTATTACGGCTAAGTCAGGAGATGGAGACTCAGAGCTGACATTAGTTGAAGAAGCACTAGCTGTAGATTTAGGCATAACTCTTCAATACACATTCGTGACGGTGGCAAAGAAGATTGTACAGGTTCACAGAGGTGTCATCAAGCGTTTCCTAGAGCTCGAACGCGTAGACAGTTGAGTTGAATGGAAGAAACCAAGTAGGAATAAACATGGTCACTTCGTTTGTTTCTTCAAAATAATGATACGCAATACCCATATGATTTGTTTATTAAGACCCTATTGGTCTTCCTGTTATAGGTTAGTTTTTTCCTGTCACGTCAGTATGATCTGTAGACAGGCCAGCCGCGGCAGTTGGCTTTCGGCTCTGTGTGCCGTATTTACGCTTGAGCAAGTTCGAGGTTTGAGATGATAGCATATGCAGAGACGTTTGCTTGACGCACTAGCGGCCGAAAAATGCCGTGAGTTAATACCAATATCGTCGACCTCTCAACGGTATCCGTAAGACTAAGCAGGCGCCTCAATGCGCCCACAGTGGTGCCGCGCGAAGAATTGTCGTGCGCCGTACTCAACAAAACTGATATTGTTATTTATACTACTTTTTGTATGGTGAATTCAATAATGAACTTTAACACTTCCAGACACTTCTAAGCTTCACTGTGTAACGTACAGCCTCTAATCAATTGATTAATTCAATAAAGAAAAAATGCAAAACAAATTCGAGAACGGATTATATATATATTCGATTTCCTCATACAACATACAAATAGTATTGATCAAAACTTGGCACAAGATTTCGTAAAAATTGTAAAAAAAAAAACACGTAGATGCAACGCGAAGCATATACATGGGTTTTTGGGAATCAACCATACAATTCTCCAAAGCAAAGACGCTGCTTAGGTCTATTGTCAAGGCTAGAAAGTACTTTGCGAAAGCAGAAGCAGTCATAGCACAGCAGACGGTCAATGAATAATGCTCTGAGTCCCACAAGGGCGGCAGCGTCAACCGCAACAGAGGCTACCTATTTAACCCCTCTCTGTATCACTTACGAGCGTCGAACAGAACACGACAACAGTGTAGAAAAAGCAGTCGACAGAAATACGAGTGGATAAACAGATCGGTCCGTTCCTTTACCGCACAATCCGGTTTTTCTGATCAATCTGTTTCTGTCAGGCGCCTCGCTAAGCTTTAATTCGAATGCATAATTGGCTCAGTGCCGCTTTCTTTCTTTCCAGGTAACGGAATGGTTCAGCCGGGTTATTTCGGTGTTAGCGGAAAATAAACAGATATGGATACTCAGTGGTGAAGCTCCAGCAATTAAGAACTCGCATACAATGACAAATAGGTTCACTTTGGAAATAACGGAAGGAATAGGCTATACCAAACCGTGAACCCCCAAATAATTCGACAGCGACGCTGGCAGCTATTAGTGATGAATATCTGCGGCTACCTATGGACACATTTCCGGTCTGAGTGCATAATGAAGAAGGCAAACTGAAACGTCTCCCAACAGATATGGTTAGAGAAAGGAGTAGGTTCTTAACGCTTCTGGCGATTAACAAATTCAGAAGGTTGTAGAAGAGAGAAGGTTCAACCCATTCGTAATAGCCGGAATGATCTATTGATCTTTGCTGACGATTCCAGGGTCAGGATGGCCGCTAAGTAAATATAAAACATCAGAACAAGCAAAGGATCGGTCGGCGATACCTCAGTTTAGAGAAAATGCTAACGAAATCTATTAGAGCAAATTTTAGTCTGCTAAGACTTAACTGTGTAATCGTGACGAAAATATTAGCCCGAACCCGAAATTTCACGAATTCCTTTGAACTTGGAAAGAATTACGTCGAAGTGAGTCAAAAGTAGGAAATAGTGTCTACATTTAAGTAATATAAACAGTAGCCCTAGGTCAATGGACCTCAGCTCGGTGTACGAAAAACCATAAAGATAACAGCTTGAGCGCAATTATTATTATATTTTTGCATTTTCAATTTTGATTCTTGTTTAGAAGATTAAGTTTTGCATCAGCAAGGAGCTTCAAAAATCTCTGACGCCACTGATGCTCCGAGGTCACTTCTGTGAACAACAAAGATCGGAATGTAATGATGTTCTGCACTATGACGTCCGAAATGCCAATTACTGAGAAACGTAAATTGTATGTACCACTCTTATGTTAGAAATGAATAGGTTGCAGCCGCTTCCTTAATGCACATGTATCTGTAGGCTTGTTGACACTAAATTGGAAAAAAGCATCGTCTGTAAGGCAAGGAAGTGCTAATGGTCTTGGGTTTCCATGAGTTTAAAGTCTTGTCAGTGATGGCCCGTGTGATCTTATTGCGACTGCAGCAATATTTTTGCAAGAGGGTATCGAACAAGAAAAAAAAATCGTGTATTACATCCAGTACAACATAGATATACTACTACGGCTGGAAGCCAGCTGTAGTAGGACATCTATATCCAGATTTGAAATTAGCTCATCACGTGTCCTTAAGGTTACGTATTCACACGAGGCAACGATCTAATTAAATACAATTATCAGTCAGATTTACTTCTTTCACCCATTAAACATACAAGATATACCACAAAACGGAAGTTTGTCTGAACGTGCACGATCCGATTTGAGCACTAAGGTACACTGATGGACGTGCGGAGATAGCGAAATGAGACATATAGCCCGCTTTCCTTGTTTGCTGTTACTTGTTAACCAAAAATTGTTAGGCAAACATTCATTACAAAAACCTGACATTAACAAACGAAGCGAGAAGCAGTTAATTCAATATCGAATATTAACCCGATTACTATCATCGGGCCTCGTAACTAGTATGGGTGAAGCTGTCAAGTTTATCGGAAATTTTCAGTAGGTGTCTATAGAAATTTCTCCTGGCTTCAGGAGGCTCGAAAAGGGATGCGCGACTAGCATATTTATTGAAGTTTCGTTTTGCTGCTTGTAAAAACATCGTAGGTACCATTTTCTATAATTATTGGACTTTTTGGTTTTACAATATAAAGGAATCTACACGGCAAAAATGAAGAGAGAACAGTGGTAATTAGAAAAATGGCAGGCATTTATGTACAGCACAATGATACTAAACGATTAAATCATATGTAGAACGAGTGGTATTCTCCTACGGTACAACGCGGCCAATATCGAGAACAATGTATAGTTACATAAATTAGTTAATCTGCAAAATCGGGCTTCTAGTAGAGCCTGTAGGTCGTAGCTTTGAGTACAAGGTGTTCGTTCTTCCGCATCTTTAAGTAAAGGAAGATCTTCGTTTGTTACGATAGAAGGGTTCGTGCTAAACTACTTTCATCACTAGTTCATGACGAAAGCTCGAACAGCTTGTTTTAACGTGCGCCTTAAGTTAAAGCTACTATTGAGTAACTGATATGTTTTTTTTTGTCGCAAGGGCTCTATATTCTACATTTTTCCCGTTGCTTTGGACGTTGAAATCTGAAAGGGTTTCGTTAGCCGCATAGGGGTGCTAATTATAGGTTGTCACAGACAGCAAGGGGCCTCTCTGCAAGAACGGTCGATTTCTGACCAAAAATCTCTTCTATTGTGGCCTATGCTCTTAGCGATACGCCGATGAGAATGGAA